TGTGTGTGTGTGTGTGTGTGTGTGTGTGTGTGTGTGTGTGTGTGTGTTTGTTTGTTTGTTTGTTTGTTTGTTTGTTTGTTTGTTTGTTGTTGTTGTTGTTTTTAGGGTTCATGTTGTCAGACCTCCCCGAGCTGTTTGGACCTCCAGACTCAGCCCCGCCCCTCCTCATCAGACTGATGGAGGCCATCGAGAGCAAAGGTAACACACCTACACACAGACAAACACACAAGTCGAAACAGTGTAGTTCTGGTGTTGAACCGTTCTATCTCGTAGTGACTTCACTCCGCTCTCTGCTGGTCGTGTCTCTGCAGTGACTTTGTTTGTTGTTAAGAAAGATGTAAACATGAAGTTGATTCTCTCGTCTGTGTGTAGCGTGTCTGAATGCTTCTGTTCTTACCTGATGTTGAGTCCTTGTTGCTTCAGGTGTGGACAGCATCAGTGTGTATCACAGTCTGACTGGAGGAGGTCTGGACACCCGACAGCTGGCCGACGCTGGTGAGGATTCTTCTTCTTCTTCTTCTTCAGACATGTTTGATAGGGGTGGGGGTAAAAATCGATACAGCATAGTATCGCGATATTTTGCATGGCGATATTGTATCGACACACGGATGCCAAGTATCGATCTTTTATTATATAAACTATTAAAAATATATATATTTTCTGGTGAGGTCAGCAGAGGTGCCGGGTCAGCGTGATTGGTAGGAAGTTGGTCAAAACAAAGAGAGACATCTGGCCTCACAACGGGGTTAAATCTGCCAACAGCAGCCAGGCTCATGGGGAGAGTGCAGCGCATAACTGTCTCTCTGCCCTCGACGTCCACGCATCACAAGTTATACTGAGTTATATAACTCTTATTTCCTACTTATATAAGTTATAGTTCATATACTGAGTCCACACGTTTGCATTTAGTTAAGTTGGACTATGTAGTAATACAAACAGTTCAGTTTGTCAGGTTCATGCAACATTTATGACATTGTTGGTCAGTCTGTCTGCTTGACAATCCTATTCTGCTGCAATAAAAATGATTGAAGTGAGATGAACAGACTGAAAACTTTATCTCATTAGATAAAACATGTTGACACAGTTTTCCTTTGGGGACATCATTTGAAGTTGAAAAAAGTAATAAATCGCGATATAGGCCTATGGTATCGCAGTATCGTGATAATATCGCAGTATCATGATAATATCGTATCGCGGGACCTCTGGTGATTCCCACCCCTAATGTTTGACTGAACTTCTAGTTGTTGGAATGCTGTTAAGCATTCCAACAACTAGAAGTTCAAATCCTTCTACTTCCTCATACTTTCAGCTACAGACACCATTTCAACTTTAAAATGTTGAGAAAACCCTTAGGTATTGCCACATTATTCAGCTTTCTGATATCTTTTACACATTTTGAACTGCAGCAATTTAACTTTTATGATTTTTCAGCCCTTTTCTGACTTTATAATGGGTGTGTATTGCGCAGCTTAGAGTGCGTGATGTCACCGCTAGAGTGAAGAGCAGCTTGAGATTCTTGTGAAAAAAACATTTGTATTTTGCCACTGTGTCCACAATCTTCACTCTTCATGCATCATTTCTGGATGTAGAAGTAGCTAATCTTGTCCTTGTCGTAGACAAATGACTGTGGAATCCCACAGATTTACACATTTGGCACAGAAGCCTGTAATTGAGAGGAAAACCAACTTTCTGCTCCATAGAGACCAATGTTAAATTTTGCTTCAAAAACATCTTCCACGGAACACGGTACCCCATTTCTAGATCGCCAGTTCAGCCACATTTTTTACACTACAGACACAATTTTTACAGGATCTGTTCTTCAACTCATCCTTCCTCTCATTTATTAATATCGGAGCAATAGGAGCTACGGTTATGGGAGTTTTGAGGATTTGTTTGAGAGGTGTTTCCCTGTTTTATCTCCATGAAAAGGCTGCAAGGAGGTGTTTCTGATTAAGCTAATTAGTGATGTTGATAAACAGACTCACAGACTCTCTCTCTCTCTCTCTCTCTCTCTCTCTCTCTCTCTCTCTCTCTCATATTCAGGTCTTACAGCTTTTTACAGGACCCCCCCACCCCATTTTAAAGTAAAGGCCCCACAAAATGAATTCTAACTGAAATGCTTGTGATGAAGCCTGTCATTTAATAACTTCTGTTTATGTGTCCAACATTACGATTCTGTCTCCTCTCCCCCACCCAGTCCCACCCTTTCAAAATAAAAGCCTCATGGATTAACTATACGTTAAGCTCAAAATTAGGCTTTTTTTGTTGAAATAATGAATGCTCTTACTAATACTGCGACAACTACTACTACTGCTGCTAATATTTATAGTATTACTACTGCTCCTACTACTACTACTACTGCTGCAACTTTTGCTGTTGCTACTATTACTACTACTGCTACTGCTATTACTGCTACCATCAATATTATTACTACCACTACTACTATTACTTATACTACAACTGCTACTACTGCTATTGCTGCTACTACCAGTACTAATACTACTACAGCTATTAGTACGACTGCTACTAGTACTACTACTACTGCTATTACTTCTACTTCAAAAACTGACTTTACTATTACTACTACTTCTACTACTACTACTACTGTTAAGTACTACAACCACTACTACAGCTATTACTACGACTACTGATACTACCACTTCTACTACTTCTTCTAATTACTAATACTTCTACTACAACTACTACTGCTACAACTAGTACTTATTATAATGCTACTAATACTTCTACTGCTAATAATACTGCTTCTACTACAACTAAAACTTAGACTACAACAAATATCACTACCTACTGTTTCTCTTTATTCAACTTCCTTTTATATTTCTTCCGTACGTATTTTGCTACTTAACTCCTTCCACATTTTTTAAGCTACAGAAACCGTTTGAATATCTAAATGTTCAGCTCTTTCAGGAGAGGGGTGATATGACTTCATATTTGTAATCTTTAAGCCTTTTGAATTATTAAGCTTTCTGCAATATTTTTTGAAAGGGATCTCTATGGAGAAAATCTTCAAATCCTGTTAAACTTCTTCAACTTTCAAAGCCTTCTTCTCATACTTTCAGCTACAGACACCATAGTGAGATATTTCAACTAGAAGGGTTTTCAGCAGTGCAGTTTAAATGCTTTCAGGCTCCAACATTTTTCAGACAGGTAGTCTTCCATTTCTGTACTTTCAGCGATGTTTATGCAATTCATTTCAGCATTCCAACGCATTTTCAGCAGGAAATGCATTTTCTAGTTCATACTTCTCTGTCCTTACTAAGTATTCAGTCCTCATGCAGTGTATGTTTAATAGAGACCTGCTACGTTGACCCTGTGGCTCGTATATCTGCAGTGCAAAGGATTGTGGGTCATAAAGCCAGAAAAGCTTCTTCCTGTAAAATGCCACCAGACTTGATGTACTCGGGCTGTGTTTTGAGGAGACGAACAGAGAATAACTGGAGGTGTGTTTGTTTTCCAGACCTGGAGCAGCTGGAGGTGTCGTCTCTGTGTGACGGGGTGAACCGGTTCCTCCAGGATCTACCTGGTCCAGTCCTCCCGTCATCGCTGCAGACCGACATGATTCATGCGGTGCAAGGTGACGGTTTAAACCCCGTCCTGAAGAGATTCTTCTTCCGCTTCTTCTGCTTCTTGTGTTTTCCCGTTAACGGCGTGTCTTTGTGTCCACAGATGTCCAGGACCTGGAGGACTGTGCCCAGCTCCTTCGTGGTGTGACCAGTTCTCCCAGCTTCCCGGCCCAGTACGGGCTGACCCTGCTCAGCGTGGTCCGCCACCTGGCCCGGCTCTGTCTGACCGGAACCAGGACCCAGCTGAGCCCCCGAAACCTGGCAGAGACCTTCAGCCCTCTGCTGTTCAGACCGGCTGCAGGGTCAGTACTGACACGGTGTACTCTCTAGACCCTGAACCTGAACCTTAAAGACCACGTGTAGGTCATTGTAGGTGGAATCGTATATAATGAGGGGGTTGATATTCAGAGAAAATACTGTAAATATAATACTAATAATCAACGTTTCATTATGAGTCTCCCTGAATATTAAACTCTCTATTCTACTCTATTAAACAACCAGGGTCTCATGTTCACATGAAACCACATGAATCTCCATATTTATTATTATTTGACTTTAATCTTTTATTTTAGCGTCCTTTAGACTCTGTGTGTGTGTGTGTGTGCGCGCGCGTGTGTAGATTTCTGACTGTGAGTCTGTCTTCAGGTCTGAGTCCAGTCTGGATCCTCTGGTTCAGGTCCTGGAGGTTCTGATAACCAGCGAGCTCAACATGAACCAGGCTGCACCAGGTGTGTGTGTGTGTGTGTATCTGATACTAAGTTTCCTAAATGTTGATTCATTTTTAATAACTGCTGCAGATACTAAAAATCTGACAGAACACATTTTTCACGAGCTTCTTGATCCAAATCCTGATCAGCTTTGAGTTGTTGATCTGAACTCTGAGGCTCCTGAACGTCTCGCTCTGGAACTACTAAAGCCCCGCGGCGGTTTACTGAGCGTTGCATCAGTCGGTTTCACGTGAACGTCGGAAATCTGTTTTAAATATTGAGCCCATGATCACTTTCAGTTCCTCTGAACGCAGCGTCACGCTGTTCAGTCTGAAGAGGACAAAGGTCGAGACGTTCGTCTAAGTCTCCGTCCAGATGAGATCATGAAGAAGAAGAACGAACCTGAAAAGTAGAAAAATAATCCAGAGATGTAATAACAGTTAATTTAGTTATTAGAGCTGAAAACTTTCTTTGATCATTTTGTCCCAGATTTAAATCAAAACTTTATTTTGTCGTTCGGCTGCTCGTGACGATTTAAAACCAAACTGATGGATTTAAGAAGTTTAATAGAAAATCTGGTTTAATCAGAATTAAACATTTTGGTTTTTGGTGTTAAAACTTCGTCATAAAACATCTTTTCATCCTATAGAAGAAGAATCTAAAGATATCGACTGTCCGTCCTACTAAATATAAACTGTACTTATTCAAGTTAAAGATTGTTTGAACACGCAGGTAAACGCAGCCTCCGTTAGCCGTATTTACGATAAAGTTTCTGATGAAGTTGGTTTTAAGGTTGTTCTTTTACGACCTATAGTGAACTTGCAGTTGAGAGAAATTGTGAGCTTAATGTTTTCTACACTCACTAACATGTGTGGTGTATTAAGCCTCGAGTTCGTCGATTTTACCGTCGCCATCTTGTTTTTTTTTTATCAGCCAGTGAACAGGAAGTGACCATATATGGTCTGACGTAGAGACGCCGTATACGTCTCTGGTAGAGACCTGTCAATCACTGTGTAGCCCCGCCCTAAATCATCCCCTGCTTTATGGTCTGTGTGACTCTAAATGGACCATAATGTACTAAATGAACATCATGCTGTATTGAAGAAGACTTGAAACTAGAGATTGAGACCATAAACTCATGTTTACAATGTTTACTGAGGTAATAGATCAAGAGAGAAGTAGAGTCATTTTCTCATAGACTTCTATACAACCAGAGGAGTCGCCCCCTGGTGGACACTGGAGAGAATGCAGCTTTAATACAGCTGATGGTCGGTCATCTTGCCGTGTCGTATCCGTCATCCGTCTCTCGCTCTCCATGGGAATGAATGGGATCCGTCAACTTCACATATGGCAACAGATTTGGTGGTTCTCCACCTTAAACGTGACGGGCAGAATAATTGTAAATATAATAGGACACAATTCTCAGGTACTTGGAGTATTTCTATTTTCTGCTACATTTCACTTCTTACTGCACTAATCAATCTGACAGCTTTAGTTACTTTACAAGTTAAAATAAAATATAATCGACTAATAAATAATAATGTATTATTATAGATTAAAGTCATTCAAATGAGCTCCACCTTTTAAAGTGACATTAATGCATCAGTAATATGTATTATTCTGCATAATTAGTGCTTCTGCTGTCAGTACTTTAAGTATATTTTGATGACATTTTGAACGTCAGGTGATTATTTCTTTGTGTCATTCATTAATTCAGCGAGTCGCTCTGACCGAGCGGCAGCTGAAACGATGACATCATCCATCCACACAGTGAAGGATGCAGCAGAGGAGGAGGAGGGGGGGGGGGGTTGCCTCTGTGATATCACTGCCATCGCGGGATTGGCTGGGGGCAACAGTGATGTCACACATCTCCAAGCTGCTCTCCTGAGCTTTGAACTGAGGCTCGGAGACGGAGACTTTAAGTTGCGTTGTTGGTTTTAAAAAAGAAAATCTTTAAAACAGATTCAGGATAAACGCAAACGAGATGTTTTCTCCGGGCTCGTTATCTTCTCAGAGAGAGAGAGAGAGAGAGAGAGAGAGAGAGAGAGAGAGAGAGAGAGAGAGACAGGTACACCTGGTTCATAGAGAGAGAGAGAGAGAGAGAGAGAGAGAGAGAGAGAGAGAGAGAGAGACCTGCAGCTCTCAGTGCAGCCGAGCGTGTCTATATATTAAAGAGTGATAGTCAGAAACATAAGACTGGACCCCGTTTCCCTCCGAGATGACGTCGGGTGTTTTAGAGGTAGGATAGGCTGCTGTAGTCGGGACATCTATGAGATCCAGAACAGAAGGACCCAGGTTTGGTTTTTCCCCGCTGAAGCGTCGCAGAGGTGGCCGAAGGGTTTAAGAGGGCCGACATGGAGCGAGAGGAGGGAGGCCGGGCCGAGGCCGAGCCTCTGAGGGGACGAGACAAGATCCTCTGCTACATTACCATGCAGAGTCCAGGTAGGAGCTCAGACCTGGACCTGGAGCTGCGTAGACCAACACCTGGGGGCAGTCTGCCTCAGCGTGGACCACCTGGCTGTTGGTGTCCTGCTGAGCCGCTATGATCAGATGTCGTCTTGTGTTTGTTTTTATATTCGAGGTATTTTATAAAGTTGAATCGTAGGAAAGTTCTCTCTCTGATCTGATCTGATCTGATTATTTATTTAACCATATAATTCAACTGAGAAGCAGTTCTCATTCACAATGACAACCTGGCCAAAGAGGCAGCAACAGGAGGCGAAATGATACAAAACAATCTCAATATGTACAATATATTTAAAAGCAAACGGTGTTCCTGGAGAAGCGGGTGCAGAGATCGTTGTTTGTAATGAGTTATTAAAGGAGGGCGAGGAGTTTAGCTTCACGTGGAGCAGCAAACTGGAACCAAAAAACGTCCGAAAGGTGGTGCGGACTATTCGTAATCGAACATAAAACACGTGGTTACTGTTAAAGATGATGAGTAGATGAGAGCGGAGACTTGTGGGTGTTTTTACCAGCGATGGTTTTATAGATGCACTGATACCAGTGGATTCATCTGTGTGGAGTGGAGTGATGGCAGTTTGGTAGATGACGTCTGGTTTATTTTGGAGGCGGAGCTGTAGATTACATCACCGTAGTCTAAGATGGGAAGGACTTTCATCTTAACCAGAGCGGGTAGAGGAGGCTTTGTTACGGTACAGGAAACCAATTCTGGATCTGACTTTGTAAACCAAGTGTGTTAAAGGTGAGCGAACTGTCGAGCCAGATACACAAGTACTTGGAGAAATTGTAGTTCTGGTCCATCCAGGGAGGAGATTACGAGATGGCAGGCAGGTTGTGGTGACTCTTGGAAACATACATTTAGTTTTGTTCGTGTTTTAAGAGAAGGCACGTTGGATACTATTGAAGTTGTGGTGTTCAGGGACGAGCTGGATGTGTATAAGACGGTGTCGTCTGCATACAAATAGACGTGAGAGCCGCCTGCAGCGTGAGCATCGTTGTTCAAGTAGATTATGATTAAGGTTGTATTTATGTTCTTTGTTTCACAGATGTTTGTTCACACGGTCACTGATGTGAAACTGGTTTTTGTTTGCTGATGTCTTCTAGGTTGTGGTTTGATAAACGGGACCTAGTCTAAAGGATGAAGGCATGAGAACTTGTCTCGGCTTCTTCTGGTTGCCGTCCTGGTGTCCAAGAAGAGGGAAGACGGATGTCCTGCTTTAATCCATGTTCTCACAAATAGACACTGGATCACATTGGTCCAGTTAGGTCCACAAACAGACGGGAAGACGGTCTCGCTTCGTACAACCTGTTGGGTCTCAGGGTGGATGCGTCATTTACGCCGGAAAATCATCTCTCGTAATTACTATTCATATTTGTGAATTGTACCTATTTGGGAATATTTTGGTTTTAAAGATCTTGAGAGATATCGAGCATCATCGACGAATATCTTTTCTTGTAAAATGTCCAATGTCATCAGCGACTTGTTCTGGAGTTTATTAACGGTGGCAAAATCAGTTTTTTCCTTGTTCTTTTGTGCTAAAAAGACGTAACTTTGCTTGTTTTAACAAGGCTGCATACTGTCACCACTGCTGTTCTCTATTTACACAGAATAAAATGTCCACAGCAGTAATATCAAGCTGTTCAAATATGCTGACCATACTGCTCTTGTTATTCTCTTCCTAAAAGACGATGCCATGCCGGTAACTGGACTTCAGGACCGGTGTCTGACAGCTAAACTGGAGATGAATGTGGCCAAAACAAAGGAAGTTATAATACAAAGAGAACCTGAACATTCTCCCTGTAGTACTGGTACTACTGGTACTAGTAACAGGCCTGTAGGAGAAGTACAACGTTTAAAGTACTTTGGCCAAGTTATTGATCAGACCCGAACTTCAGCATTCATTCATTCATTCATTCATGGTCCCAAAGGCCAAGCAGCACATATACAGGAAGTCTTCTGTTAAGCCTCCGTGGCATTAGTGGCATTATGTTCTGGGTTGTCCATCCGTACATATGTGAACGTGAATCTCTTCAAAGGGTGACTGTGACCATAACTCTACCCACTGCAGCAGCATCGGTTCTGTCTGGACTGGAGAGTATTCCTTCATTGAATGAAGAGCACATAGGACACTGAAGTTGATGATGTCGTTCTTCGCCCGATGCTTTGATTGACAGATGGTTCATCCAATCATCTGCCTCATATTTATGTTATTTAAAGCGCCTTCCCTTCTCTAAACTGGTTCCAATGACGACTTCTTAGTAACAAATTATCTGGTGCGTCAAGTTAACTGCATCAGAGAACTCTTGTAGTTACATTAGACAAGCTCTCTTATTGTTCATAGAAGGTATTTGCTGCTACCTGCTCATTGGCACTTCTGTATACTGTATATTTGTATGTTGTAATGGCGTGTTGTGTGTACTGTATGTACCTTTGCTGTACTGAGGACAAGCCAGAGACAAATCTCCACTGAGGTGGTCAATCTAATCTAGTCTCGGTATCCCTCTCACAAATCCAGCATTAGACATTTTAGTGTAGAAATGAACTCATCAGTGCCCTCTGGTGGACAAACATTGATTCTCAATAACTTTAAACATGAACTGATATATCTGTGACAAGCTAATATACCTGATATATCAGTAGCTCCACTTCCTCTCAACAGTTTGGACTTCCAGAATGATCGTGTGGAGAATTAAAAACTCAATTGTTAGTGATTGATTCATCTCTCTCTCTCACACACACACACACACAGACAAAGATTAAATTAAACCTCTCTGTCGTTGTTTCAGCGTTGCCTCCTAAACCGGTCAAGTCTTCAGCTCCAGCAGCTTCCTGCAGCTTCAACAACAGTATTTCCCTGCAGGACGCTGAGTGGTACTGGGGAGACATCTCCAGGTAATACACACGTCCAGGCTAACCGCTAAAACACATGCAGTGTGTATTAGTAATAATGTTAACAATGTTAATGTCATAATAATCTAATGATAGAAGATGGTGTGTTACGGTTTGGTATTCTATTTTTACAGTGTAGTAATAGTACTTTGAGTTATAACTGTTTTTACAGTGTTGTATTGGTCCTTTCAGTTGTAACAGAGTATTTTCACAGCGTGGTATTAATACTTGCGGTGTGTTCTGTGTTTGTAGAGAGGAGGTGAACGAGAAGCTCAGAGACACAGCTGACGGTACGTTCCTGGTTCGAGACGCCTCCACTAAGATGCACGGAGATTACACTCTGACTCTGAGGTAAACCAAGATGTATTCTAATTTATCCATTCTGTTTTCTTTCATTCTTTATTTATTAAGTATTTTTATTAATGTATGGTTGACCGACTGACTGACTTATTGGGGGAAAAAAAGGCAAATTGCTGATCTTGTCAGATGAGACTTTTATTTTGAAGTCCGTTCTTACACGTGAGGCTAAATTGACCGTCGCTTCACTTGTTTAGCTCTCAGGCTCTTTCTTGTCTACTACTTCCCTCCAGAAACAGAACCCTCTGCTCGTACATCACACACAGTATTGTCTGCTGGTTTGGTGTAACAGACTGATGTTCTCTGACCACCTGTAGGAAAGGAGGCAACAACAAGCTGATAAAGATCTTTCATCGGGAGGGAAAGTACGGCTTCTCCGACCCGTTGACTTTCAGCTCAGTGGTGGAGCTCATCAACCATTACCGGCACGAGTCCCTCGCCCAGTACAACCCCAAACTGGATGTCAAGCTGCTGTACCCGGTCTCCAAACACCAGCAGGTCTGTACACGGCCTGAAGTCATTGACCGGTGGTGCGTCAGCTCATCAGGCGTCTGATTGGACTTGTTGTTGTTCAGGACCAGGTGGTGAAGGAGGACAGTATCGAAGCTGTGGGGAAGAAGCTGCATGAGTATCACCTGCAGTTCCAGGAGAAGAATCGAGAGTACGACAGGCTGTACGAGGAGTACACCAGAACCTCGCAGGTACACGACAACACAGCTACAGTGCACTACGATACAATACGATACAATACGATGCACTACAATGCTCTACGATAAAATAAGATACAATAAGGTACAATACTCTATTATATGATACAATATGATGCAATGTGATGGATGACATAACGATCCTCCTCTCCTCTCCTCCTGCAGGAGATCCAGATGAAGAGGACTGCCATCGAGGCCTTCAATGAGACCATAAAGATCTTCGAGGAGCAGTGTCAGACTCAGGAGCGCTTCAGCAAAGAGTACATCGAGAAGTTTCGCCGAGAGGGCAACGACAAGGAGATCCAGAGGTAGGGCTGTTGCCACGGTAACTGTGACGGAGACCTTTTTTTAAAACACAGACACACGTGAAGGAGCCCTTGTTGCCATGGCACCAGAGCCTGCAGGAAGAAACCACCTGCTGGTGAATTTAGTGTTTGTTGTCCAGTCAGATCGAGCGGCTGCTTTCTGTTCTATTAAGACTGAAGAAGCAGTTCTGTTGTTTTAATAGAGATCTGGTTCATAGTGTCATTCATCACGCTGCTGCTCTTCAGTAGAGACGCAGCTGTTTAAATGTTGTACTTCTAGCTCTTTGTGTTGTTGTTACCGTCTGTGCCGCTAACGGCAGCTAGCTCAGTGAATCAGACCTGCGCGCTACGATGCTAACGGTAAAGATGACGCTAAACCACGACTCTCACGTCGCACGACGGATTCATCGTGCGTATAGACATCCAATTTGGTTCCTGAAAAATGTGATTAACTATTTAAAATGGCTCTTGTAATATTCACAATATTTTTTGGGACAATTTAAAACTTCATAGATAAAAATGTCCTAAATTTTGACAGTTTTCTGAATTTAGTTGTTAGGAAAGTTAACTTTCTATCTGTAAACTAAAAGTTTGATTGTTTTCAAAATACTACTTTATTCCACGGATGCATTCATGCTTAAAAGGTCTTAATTTAGATTGTTTAAAGTTTAAGACCATAAAATGTCTTTAAAAGTCTTATTTTTAACCATGAAACGTATATTTACATATTTAAATGTAACATAAGTTTATCTTCAGTTCCAGCCTTTCTGTACATGTGACCTGGTTCTCCACAGATAAGAAGTCTTTTTATCTGTTTGGTATCTGCTAGAGATCTATGGAAGCCCACTGCGGCCACTGTGATGAAAACATGACTTAGGATCTCATAATGAGTGACAGGATCTTTATCTTTCCTCACAGTGGTGGAAATGAGCTTCCATAGTAAACAGAAGCTAACGATGACTAGAAGACATTAAAGGTGTGAAGGATGAGGAGGTGTGAAGATGAGAACGTTTGGCTGGTTTGAAGCTCACCTCTCTGTCTCTCTCTGTGTCTCTGTGTCTGTCTCTGTCTCTCTCTGTGTCTCTGTGTCTGTCTCTCTCTCTCTGTGTCTGTGTCTGTGTCTCTGTGTGTCTGTGTCTCTCTGTCTCTGTCTCTGTGTGTCTGTGTCTCTGTCTCTCTCTGTCTCTGTGTGTCTGTCTCTCTGTCTCTGTGTGTCTGTCTCTCTGTCTCTGTGTGTCTGTCTCTCTGTCTCTGTCTCTCTCTGTCTCTGTGTGTCTCTGTCTCTCTCTGTCTCTGTCTCTCTCTGTCTCTGTGTCTCTGTCTCTCTGTCTCTGTGTGTCTGTCTCTCTGTCTCTGTGTGTCTGTCTCTCTCTGTCTCTGTGTGTCTGTCTCTCTGTCTCTGT